ACATAACAAACAGTACATGGGACAAGGGACAGTCGCGCTGCCGCATGATACCCCCGACTGCTTTGTCCCCAGACTCTGGTTGGGTGTTCATGAACGGTGCTTCGTACATGCGGTAAGCTACCCAGATAGGACACGAAAAGGACCACCATTTCGGAGCACTCGGCCCCGGCCGTCGGTGACAGTTGTGCGACCGTTCACGGTTGTATAGATATAAGGAAAGCCGTTGATTACAATCGTAAACACTTCGTAGTAATTTCCGTTCCGGGCATAATCGTTTCTAAAGGTGGAAATCGAACCGGCAGGAAACACAGCTGTATATGGCCTGCCGCCGATTATTGCTTGTACAGTTGTAACTCCATTTATTGAGTTGACGATGATTCCACCAGATCTGCCAGCGTTTTCAACGGCCCTTTCAACTGCTTGATTGATCTCCACGGGCTAAATTTGCTCCCCATCCAGGACTGAACACTCCGGTCTGAAACATGCTGAACGTTTTCATAACTTCATTTAAATGGAAAAGTGCAAAAACTGCTCGATTGGATAGAGTGGCGCATTGGTACGCGGCGCTGCTGACAGCCCACCCCTGTTCGTGGATCTATTCTTGTCAAGTTCAGTCAAGCATTCTATCCCTCTAGACAAATGGCCAGACAGTCACATCGACGATGGTACTCTTACCGGTTAATTATGAAGTACAAATGAGAGGAAGCGGTGCTACTGGATAATAATATGCATACATACAGCTGGCGGTCGTTCTCACGATGCCAACGGGAAACTCGTCCAAGAAATCTCGTCCAGTGCCATGCAGAACAGAGTTTTTCGCAAGCTTTTGACCTTTTAACTTCGCTCTTCGTCATTTTCCCCACTATATTGCACCCCTGCTACTACTTTTGAGCAATTAGCCAAATTATCATACCTTATTCCTTAAGTAGAGCTGTGCAGAAAGATAAAAAAATGAAGGCGCACTTCGGCTTGGTGGAGTTGCCAAGTGGATCAAAGCGAAGCCTTTATAGAGTTACCTTCAAATTCTGGTAACTCGTCTACTTGTACCATTTTGCAGCTTCGCAAGAATTTACGGGTCTCACCGCAACGGGCCCTATTAGTGTGAAAATGCAAAGTGCCGCCCCTAAGCCGAACAACGCCTCCAACGAGGGACGCTGAATGAACACTGAACCTTGCAAAACTGTTCCTACGATGCAAAACAGTTCCTACGTTCCTAGACAACGTTGCAAGCGCGAATACGAGTCCAGTGCATGGCGCAACCAACTGGACCGTTGGCTGTTTCCTACTTTTCATTATTATTTCCTAGGTTTCTTTAATAGTAGATTCAAGCAAGAAAAGATTGAAATTATCAGTCTCTTCTTTTGATGCGCCATGCACCTTACTTTCGTTCAGAATTTCAGAGTAATGTTGGAATGGCAACCTGGTGATTCTATATAACCAAGTACAATCACCGTTATTACAATTCGCCAGACAAGCCAGGTACAAGTTATTTGGTGCCGCGGGGAGATTGCCGCCGGGGAGCAGAATTCTTGCTTGCCTGGGTGTTAGCTGCAAAGGTCTTTCGAAACTGTGGGCCGAGTGGTGAGGAGCACGCTCGCATTCACCGACTACGCCATCTCTGCTACAAAGAGAGAGAGAGACAATGAGAGAGAGAGAGAGAGAAAAAAAGAGAAAAAGAGAGAGATTCTTGGAAATGTGAACTCACATTGAAGAAATCTGGTGGAAGTGGATTGAAATCCGGACGAAATGGATCGTAATTATTCCAGCCACTGTACTGAAAAGAATCCCACTCATCGCATTGAATCCTGCTCATCAGCAGTCATGACCAGTGATTTCCATACCTGAGCTCGCGTACCAAGCGTCTCGACTAGGAGAAGCAGAAATATTTGTCTAGCGGAAAACTTTCTGGGGGCGGAAATAGCACATTTACCTTCCTTTATGCGTTTCGTGTGCCGCTGACATCGATTGGCGATGATTCAACTGGAAAAAAGCCCTGATGGCATGAGATCAGCAACAGCGATAAGTACAAAGAACGTCATCTGCGACACGGTCAAAACTCAGTACATAAATCAGAAAATGTGCAGAAATTTCAGTAAAATTCCAGTTTAATACTGGTAAACGTTCCAAGAAAAAGAGGGCGCAGTACAGCATGATGGGGCCATTTCGCTGTCTTTCATCGATCAATGCCCCAGCCTCTTGTGAAGACCAGCAATTGAAAAGCTGTGCAGCTGCAGATGCTCTTTCACTTGACAAGGGCATAATACAATTGAAACTGAGCAAATTACAAAGCGCTATTCACCCCCCCCCTCAAGCCGAACAGCGCCGAAAGCTCTTGGAAATTGTCCAGAAACGGGTTGAAAGCAGTTGTATCCCATTCAGAACGTATAGGAATGGCAAAGGAGCTCAATCAGAAGTAAAACTTATTTGCTTTTGCAGCTCTCTATCCCAGGCGTGTGACAAGGCAATCGTAATAGGCGCGCTGATGCGGCGGCGAGCGACGCCGCGCGAAACAGACGTGCTTGTCCTGCCTAGCTATTCGAATTAGAATATTTAAGAAACGGGGAGAACACTCAATACCGCCCTTCAGGAGTCCTGTATTCACCTGAATAATTCGATTTCCATGCCTCCAAACTGGCGAAACAGACGCTATATTAAGAATTGGCTGGGCACAAAAATCCGCGCGACGACGCGACAAATTACGATTATCTCGTCCATCTCTCCTATTTCCCTATAATACACCCAAACCTCTACTGACGTAAAGATGCACCGGCAACATGACGACATTTGACATGAAACAAGACGAGTTTGATCGTCTCATTCGGATTACCTTTTCGGGGATGCGCCATGCCATCAGCCTCCTTCCGTAATCGTAGTGGCATTTGGATGTGCATTTGGCCTCCGACCAGTTCACAGCCAATACACATGCCAGCTTTTTCAGGCGCACGCTCCAGCTAGTCAGCTTCTTAGTAGTAGCGGATGGACCTGATGGAATCCATCTTCTGGTACGCAGCGCCTACATCATCTCTACCCAGGAGCCACGGACAAGCGCTTCGGCTACGTCAAGGATCAATCACCGAGTTCTTTAAAACTTGTAACTATGGATGATCTGGTATGTTATAACCACATATGTACGCGATTAGAACTTGAAGGGTTAAGCATGCCGGCACCCGCAGAGTTCATTATAAGCATTTTTGCGCCAGATGAGTGTGATACTCGTGTTCAGGCTACCAACCCCAGGAACGGACTTCCTGGCACTTCTAGGCAGACGTCTAGGACTGACTCCTTACCTAGAATTCTGCCTACTCCGACGCGCCAATATGGAAAAGTTGTGGAGAAGTACCTCCATAACATCGTTCAGTTACTTATAAGTCTCTTCTTGAATGGCCATGGCGACCCGCTGGCCTTCCCTTGTTGGCTCAATGTGCCGGTTTATTAGATTACTGTACGCACGTTTGTCTGCTCCTCCGCAACCTTGCTGGAGATTGGGATAAGGGAGATGGTAGGAGAAAGCGACCACTGATAGGACTCCACAGGAACTGGTAAATAGCTAAACAAACAATTCTGTTGAAAAGCCGAGCACACATTCAAACGAATAAGCAAACCATTGGGTGGGCTTGCATAGCTGCTTGATTTTCTTGTCGTTTCTACATTATCCGTCTAGAAACTCAGTTGAGATTCGTCACGACAGGTAACAGGAAACTCCATGACTGCAAAGCTTTCGCAACAGATCCCTGTGTAGAGCCTGAATGTTGGCCTTCGGTGCCGATAAGATAGGGCTATACAACCCAATCCATTTCTCACAAAAATGCTGAGCTATAGCCTAAAGATCTCAGGCCGGCTCGAATTCGTAAGTCACGCTGATCGGGCGATGCGTTATCCTTTACGCCACGGGGAGCGCTCTCATCCTTCCAGCTCAGACTTTTGCGCCATTGAGCTGATAGGGTAAGGGCGGCCTGTCGGCGTGAAGTGGGGTTCGAGTCCCACCTGGGCTCTGACTTTCGTCCATAACTGAGCATTCTTATGAAAACTTTCGGAGCACGAACTTTGAGGTTAAATAACAATTACCATGCTAAACTTCCCAGTCAGTTCATTAAACACTAATAAAAAGCTATGGGATAGGGACTGCTAGGTTTTCTCAGTGATTCATGAGAGATAGTTCCCAGACGTTTCCCATGACCTTGCTGTCCAGACTACTCCTAAAAATTATCCAGTTATTTTTGCAAACAACTGCCCAGCCTGGGAGCATGGAAGGTCGGAATGATGTGTGGTTCGATTCACAGCCGTCAGTGTGGTAGCAACCCTCTCGGTACAACTGCAGTTCTGCTTCTGGGCCAATGAATAGATTTCTAACCAGTCATGTGTGTGAAAAGCACATTCCGCGTTCATGTGAGCACACCGTCCTTGGACAAGCCAGTAATGTTCACAAGCAAAGTGGATGCTCGAATATATGTGATAACGACGCCATTCGCTAATGACGAGCGCGATACCCCACCCATCAACCACAGCCCCGCCCAATTTTCGTTTTTTCTAAGGTTTCCCGGGTCATGCGATTGTTCCGATGCTGTAAGCAAGTTTTCTGCGGGTGAAGGGCAAGTCAGGCAGTATGAGTGTGCCACGGCGCCCAAATCCGTTCCGTGCAAATCGCTGAAGAGGTACGCGACAACAATTGGTGGAAAACGAGGGATACAAACGGTATGATACAGTTTTGTCACTTGCTCGCCTTCAACAACTGGTGGAGAACGGGTTTGGCACCGCGCCAATTCATCCCGCTTGACACGCCCCTTCGTCCGTCATTACACTGTAACTCTCCCAATCTGAATGGTGAGATTGAACTGATAAGGAGAAAGAGCTCATACCAATAAAGGAGAACAGGTCCAAGCACGCCCCCTCTTCGTCTCATGCTCGTACAAGATCGTTTTCGGCATGGGGTCCTATCTAGAGCACTTTCGACGGTCTGCTTCTCATTTTTCTCTGTTCGCTAGTAGCTCACCTCTTTGTCATTAGTATCTCAGCCCATTAACCACCATTTTTAGTCGCGGGATGCGCCTTCAATGGTGTATTATAGAAGCAAGTGAGCACGGTACGTCGGGTCTCAACGCGTAGGAGTTTATTGCCTCCAGGGGACGTCCAGCCCTCGGGGAGAAATTTACAAAATACGACCCCCTCCAAATAATCCCCCATGGCACCACGCCCTTCCTCATCCTATCTACCATGTTCCTGAGTACCAGCAACTTACCGCCAGTTTTTCTGAAAAAACTACAGAGCGCGGGTGAGGGGTGGAGTTGGTAAGGGTAGGGAGGTGTATGGCGCCAGTGAAACAGGAAAAACTAAGAAAAGTCAACGGCCAAAACCATTTCTGTTGAAACCGAATAGGACCTTCCTCTGGAAATTTCCAACTTCGACGTGCCTTGGTTGTCCCACAATAACAGCGCTATCTTGACAGGATTTACTATTCTATTATTAATATTTTGAGATGTGAGCACGAACTTTTGGTAGGTCCTCTGACCCTCATCTGTTCCTAGTTGCTTGCATAGCTCCTCGAGTTATTCATGAGATGGCTGGAGCCATTATTCATATGTTTTTAAAACATTGAAAACGTTCTGTCTTATAGTAAATAGACAATTTATTACCGATCAAAGTGTGTATATTTTTCTGGGAGGGAAGGGTGTGCTGTCAGAGATATTTTCAGTTGAATGCAACTATTTGCCTATCTCACAATCTCCACTTCCAAGTCCACATTCCCACGATGGATCTCCACGAGCATCACTGTTCTGCTACAGGCAGTGCTTTCTGTTCTTTATTGACGATCATATTTTACTAAACCAAAATTTGAACAGGTTCCATTGTATCCATCGACTTCATCAGCCATTTCATATGGTCTTTCCTAAGCTCTAGGGCACTTAGAATATCAAAGTAGAGAAGAACGTCAGGAGGCGAACCGATACAATGAGGAAAGTTTCGGGGAGCGAATAGATTCGAGAGCGGAAGAGCGCTTCTGAGGGTAAGGTACAGCAACGTGATGTGTGAAATGGGTCAGTACGACCCCCCCCCGCACCACCTGAAAGAGGGTCTGGCGTACCCACTCTCCGCTTCCCCAAAGCTGACTTAGCCTCTTCTACAAGTTCCCAGCTTGCCAACCAGTTTTTCGCAAAATTTGCCATATTTTCCAGTCCTTTCCACGCCATAAATTTTATGGGGGGTAAATAGGGCACAGCACACGTGATACGGGAAATACCGGCGGCAGAAATTCCTTTGATTCTCCCCAAACAATTCTTCTTCCTACCACATTTTCGCGGAATTTCGCGGAAGTTTTTGGCTAATTTTTCAAGAAAAATTTGGCTGTTGTGCTGGCGGAGAGGGGGAGGAAAGGGTATGGGGGATCGTGAGACGTAATATAGTAAAAATGGGAAGGCAGTGAAAATCGCGAAAGTGAAAACGACAGTAAACCGTGGAAGATTCCTTTTTCTAAAGCAAATTTGCTCTCAAGGCGGCATACGAACCCTCCTCCCCCCCCACAACGACCAAAATTTACAGGCCCCCATGCCCAGGGCAGTACGACGCCCCTCGCCCATTGTTTCACACAAGAATGGCTGGTACCCATGTCTGAGGGACTCTGTGCAAAACTGAGATTACCAAACAGTACAGCAGCCCCTTCTCTGACCTTCCCCTCATCAGTTCACGGGGCTGTATTAGTGACAACGGCAGTGAGTAACTCTCCGAGGAGAATTTCTTCACTTGAAAGTACTTTTAATTTCACGCTGTAATATGGGAATTGTCCAGCTCTGTTGAACGGACTAGTTGAAGTGTGAAAGTGTCAGCAGAACCAGCGCACTTCATGTTCCCTCTCCCAGAGCTCTTCCCTTTTCAAGGCAGCAGAGGCGAGGTTTCATCTCGCAATTACAGTAACCTGTGGGTTTGCATAAGGAAACTTTTTGATGTCACTCGCAAGGATGTTATGTCCCTCTGTTCATTAACCAAGCTATGATTTCTCGTACAAATCGCATAACTTTCGCTCACACGTAACGTACAGTTATGATTCCTTCAAATGATAGGGCGTGTATCGCGGCGTAGATTGCAGTGCAGCCTTTTTCCTGTTAAGGATGCCATCCCGACAGGGCACGCCATCGTTGTGATGATCACAACGGGGGAAGGTCGTATTTGGTCTGAGAAAACTTTTTTGATAGTTGATTTCTCTTGTTTCACGCTATAAAGGAAGGGGGCGTCGTATTTGGTCATTGTTGGGAGAGGGACTGCCAAAGATCTATACAACTACTATTTCCGATATTTGACGACTCCCCTCCTCCCGCTCGACAGCAAATTTCGGGGAAAAAGCAGAAATTTGTCGGGAATTTCGGAAATTTGGTAGGAGGTCAGGGAAAATCTGAGAACTTTCCCTATCGCCCCCCTCCTCCACCCCCTCCCGCTCGACGGAAAATTCTTGGCTGAAAAACTGGAAATTTTCGGGAAAAAATGGAAAAAGTGGTAGGAAGTTGGGAAAATCTAAGAAAATAGAATCCAGGAAAGTGGTAGGTAGACGGGGAGGGGAGAGGTTCTATTTGAGGATGGATAGGGGGGTCGTATTTTCTCAGGAAATGATCACAACGCGATGGCGTGCCCTGATCCCGAGTTCGATATAGCTGATGGGAAATCTGGAGTCGTAGGCTGTAGTGTTCATTCGTTTCTCGCGCTCAGGAGTTCCAGTTGTTTCTCTGATTTCTCTAATTCGTCAGAAACGCAAAGAAGTGGAGGCACGTGGCGGCGTAGAGGAGCAAGTTCTGAGCCTTGAGTCACGCCTAAGCCTCTGAGAATGACGATGCAGTTCAGCCGATTGGCCAGTATAAATAAAGTGTTCCACCTAACAACCCCGATGGCACCAAAGAACGGTAACTGGCAAAACATCAAAACTTAACGATGAAAATTTGTG